CTAAAAAAAATTGTTTTATTTTATTTTATTACCATACATATTTATACATATTATTATTAAATTCATTTGCTTTTGATGACTCACATTCAGTGTACAGTCAAGAATTACAGAAAAATATTTAACCACTTTGATAATTTTTATGATAGAATTTTTAACACTATGAACCAAAAGAGAAATCAACTCATTTTGAATTATAGAACCAAGATAATGATAATGAATGTCATGATTTTGAATGTGCCTAATATAATCTTGAATGATCACATCAAATTCTCCAATCATTTCAAGTAATCCCAAAAAATTATCATTACCATATTGATATAACTTCTTATTAGATCCTCTAAAAGGCAAAGAATATTTGACAATACATTTCACAATGACAATTATTGTTATTAAAACTTGCCTCCAACATTGTTTCTCTTTTTGAATTTCTTGTTGTAAATCTTTATCAATCGTTTGGCTTGTATTTAACCTTATTCTGAGTTCATTCCATGATAACATATTACTCATATGTTCAATATTATTCTCATGTTCCTTAAGTCTTTTACCAAGATGCTTCCAATATCTAAATCCATCATTAGCTATTGTATTTTTATAGTTCCTAGACTTGAACAACTTGCAACAAAAACAATACAATTTGTCCTTTTGAATATACTAGCCATTTCTAGTCACTAGATTCACCATTACTTAACTTTCTATCATAATAAGAATACAAAAAATTCCTAGACATATATCTAAAGGAAACACTATAAGCCCCTTTCAACTAAAATATCTCTTGATTTATTGTCAAGATTATCCCAATTACTAGGATCATAAATATAAAAAAAAGGTATATTGTTCAACATTTGGATTCTCAACATTAAATTCAACATTTGGGTGCTCAACATTATGTTAAACATTTGGGTGCTCAACATTATGTTCATCTAAATTTTCATAAGAGATGTCTACGCCTTTAACAAATTTGTCCATGGCTCCTTTTGTGATTGTACTAATTGCTCAAGCAATTTTCTTTTTTCCTTTTCTCACTTCTAGACAAATGTTTTTTAGGCATCATGTTTAAACAATTAACAAACTCAAACTAAATAAGAATAGAAGCACTTGAGTCTTGGAATATGTATCGAAATCGAAGAAATTAACTCCATTATTCCTTGATTTGTAGATCGTAGTATGTATATCTAAAAAATGGACACAGTAAGCTAAAACCACAATCAAAACATAACTACAAGTCTAAGACAAATGAATTGCAAACTCAATGAAACTATAAGAACACAAAAAATTGATAAATGGGACTATTTTAAATAATCAAAAAGCTAAAAAGTCATTACTTACAGAAATCACAGTCTTGATTCTTGAAGTCCAAAACTCAGAAGCGTGGAACAACCAATGAACAATAGAACTTACTGATGAAATTAAATAAAAAAACAGAAAGAGAAATCGGAAATTGTTTGCAATTTGCTTGTTTCGACAAACAACAATCAACACCATAAGTTAAATAATGATAGAAATCGTATAAATAATGACAAATATCCTAACTTAAACCCCCATTAACGGGTATGAGCTGACTTTGGATGATAGGAGGAGGCCTCTGCATCGGATTCTTCATATCTCTTCATGATTTAGGTTGTAGATTAGCATTATGGAAATGAAACGACGTCTTTGAAAAATTGAAATCGAAACCGAGCTTAGGTGAAGAAGAACATATAGAGGTTGGAGAGGTGAGAGCGTGAGCTATACTTGAAAATTGTATTCCCGTTCTCGGTTTCTATAAAAGTCGACGTCAGTTCAACGAGGTGGGATTAGGAGAGCCGAGAGATTGGTAGTACTCATTAATTTAGAGCTTAGATTCTAAATTATTTAGGCCCTCTCACTCTTGCACGAGCCTTAGGTTTCCTATTTCACATTTCGGGGCTGTTTGACAGTTGCTGAATGGTTTGGTGCAGAATGGCTAAGTGGTCAGAATGGTTAAGAGGGTCAGAATGGTTAAGTGCTGAATAAAATAATGTTGTTTGGTAAATGTTTTCTGAATAAAAACAAATTACCATTTTAACCCTCTCTTTTTTAACCTTTTAATTGTGGGATCCTGAACTAGTTTGTTGCTCTCTAAAATTTTTAGTGATCATCAGTTTCATTATGCATTTACCTAACAACTAAAAATTGTAGAAAGAAAACCTAATGGAGGCGACAATCGAAGATACTTGAAATCGAAAATCATGCAAATATACTTGAAATAGAAGCTGTGCTACTGTTCAGGGACTGGCGAGCGGCGACCAAAATCGAGGCGACAATCGAAGATACCTACTGGAGGCGACAATCGAAGCTGTGGAAGGTTGCCGGCGATGGAAGCTGTGGAGGTTGCGGGCGATGGAGACGGTGGAGGTCACCGGCGATGGAGATGGTTGAGCGACAACCGGCGAACCTGTGCAACGCGACGAGTTCTCGTGAAGGTAACGATGAGTGGACGGCTGGAATATCAGGATCCCCAGCTCATTGGCGAGACTCTCACAGGCTATTTTCTGGTCACTAACGGAGACGGGGATGGAGATGGTGGAGGCTACCGGCTACCGGAGATGGGGACGGAGATGGTGGAGGCTACCAGCTACCGGAGATGGGGAAGGCTTCTGTGGAATAGAAGCGACGTGCGTGAAGAGAGGGGTTGGGAAGAAGGGGTGGGAAGGGTAAACTTGGAAAAATAGAAGTCTGAATGGTTTAGTGAACCATTGGATGCAAAATGGTTAAGAGAGTTATGTAACCATTAAGAGGCTTGATTTTTTTTGCCAAACACTCCTTACTTCTATGGGCCCTGTACACATGTCTAGCCCGCCCTCCCTTAAGTATGGCCCTACCTATATCAATATTTTCTTTTTTATATTTCTAACTAGATCTATTTCATTGTTGAATTACATATATAAAAGGATATAAACATATAATTCATACTAAAATGATATAAATATTTTTGTTTTTTGAGTTCACCTGTTAAGATACTTTGTTTGCATATGTAAAATAGATATATATATATATATATATATATATATGGCATTCATAGGTGAACCATATAAATAGTTTTGTTTATGAAATGTTCACTAAGCATATTCACATGCAAATCCAGCAACCCCACTTTATATGTATGAAAATATAATGGTAGTTTTGAGATACTAAATACAGACATAAGTTGGACTGTCTAATATGATTAGTAATCTATACTTATTAAAAAGCATCACTTTCATTTTTCTTGGATTTTTAAGAGGTATAAATATTCTTGCACTATTTACAGCCATCTAATGCATATGAAACTTTCTCTCATTAACCCACGTCCCGTCGGATTACCCTCATCTACCATCCTTCCAAACCGGAATCGCCCCTAATTTCTCTCCATTCCCACCCCACGCCCACCCCCCAACTAGAATTGGAATGCTCTCAGGGGGGGTTTTGAGATTGCTTATTTGAAACGACTTATAATTTTTTACAAAAGCACTTATCAACTTATTATAAGTCAGATGATTTAACTTCTTCAAAAACTTCTTATTACCGGTTTGACAGCGGTATCAGTTGTTTATCCAAATACTCAAAAGTGTTTATTACCGGTGCCATACCGGAATAAGTCAATAAGTTATTTTAATAAGCAATCCCAAACACCCCTAAGTTGTTTATCCAAACGTTAAAATTGTTTATTACCGATGTCACACTGAAATAAGTCAATAAATTGTTTTTATAAGCAATCTCAGATACCCCTAAAACAAAAATAGTTGTTGGAATAACAATATAGATAGTGGGTGTAGATAGGGCTGTAAACGAAACGAACGAACACGAACGGAGGCTTGTTCATGTTCGTTCGTTCGTTTAACTTAACCGAACAAACGAACGAACACGAACGGAGGCTTGTTCATGTTCGTTCGTTTAACTTAACCGAACAAACGAACGAACACGAACGGTAAACGAACGAAAATCTTTGTGTTCGTGTTCGTTCGTTTAGAAATAAGGTGTGTTCGTGTTCGTTTATGTTCGTTCGTTAACATGTTAAAAGAATGTAAACGAACGAACATAAACGAACGGGTTAAACGAACATAAACGAACGGGCTAAACGAACATAAATAAATATTACTTGAATTCAAAGTAAATAAATAAAAGATTGTATATTAAATTTAATATATAAACGAACGTAAACGAACATAAACGAACGTAAACGAACATAAACGAACGTAAATGAACGATAAATGAACGAACGTAAACGAAAGGTAAATGAACGAACGTTTACGAACATAAATGAACGAACGTGTAGAGGTCCTCTGTGATCCCGAGTCGTGGCAATTAATAGATTGAAAACTTTTTCTATTATTTTGTTACACTATTGCGATAACATGTCGCCTTTGTGACCATCGTTTGGAAAACATATATGGCACTTGCAGTCTTCTATATATATATATACACACACACATTTTATATATATATATATATATATATATATATATTTTAATGATAACCCACAAAGCGATCTATACTAAAGTTAAGTACTTCCCACCTTCCTTCATCATATATGCATGTAATGGTGGTAATTTTTTTGCTTGTGAAGGTGCTGAAAATGGATATTAAAAGCATAAAACCACCCTAAGAGCAAGAGGAACTTGGGCTCTCTGGTAGCATTGTATGCTAATGTATTATTTTTTCAATGGTTAATTAGTATATGTTTCTTATTATAATTTGATGTAGATATAGATTATGAAATATTTGACATGAAAACAACTCATAATGGTAAATTACATCAAATGCATTTGAAGGACTAAACATACAAAGAATTATCCAAATATGACCAAGTGGCATTCAAATTAATTATTTCCATATAAAGACATGTTTTAATAAGGTCAACAAATTGGTTGTGAATATATATATTCAAATATGAAACAGTAACTCGGAGGTATAGGAATTTTCTATATAATAAACACCAAACTTGTAAGTTCTGACACAAAAACTTTTGTGCTTGTGCCAAAGAGAAATAGAAGGAGATGGAGATGGAGATGGTTAAGTTTTTTCACATGAATGGAGGAGCTGGAGGTGCAAGTTATTCAAATAATTCTGGACTTCAGGTATGCCTTTTGAACTTGTGCTTAATTAAGCACTAATTTTTTTTTCATCCTTACTTTCATCTCATTGTATTATATCATATAAGAATCTGAGAATGGAAATTTTATATGTGAAATATTAAAAAAGTTCATAAGAAAATGCATATATATATATATATGTGTGTGTGTGTGAATCTATATGAATAAAATGTAACGTCAATTCACATACGAATATTCAATAAAAAAAACTGGATTTTTTGAATAGATTCACATATCAACCTTCTTTTAACCTGTCCTCTTACTTTTTGTTTAGTTTCTTTTATTTAAACTTGCCCCTATACATATATATATATATATATATATATATATATATACACACACACATATACGAGCCTTTCATGTGATAACAACAAAAATTTTGAGAACTGTGAGAATCTATATATTTATTTATACTTATACACTAATGAGTTTTAGTAAGTATATGCATCAACACGTATGTGCTTGCACACACATATATATATATATATATATATATATATACATGATGAATATACAAGTTTTTACAATTTTCAATTTTTTTATGATTCTCCGGCCCGTAGACATGATGCTATATATATATTGGGTTCCGTCGAAGAATCAAAATTTAGTGAGAATCGTAAAATCACTTTGTTAATGAGAGTTCACATAAGTTAACTTGATAAAATTCACTAACATATGTTAAGATTTCATTACAAGGTATGCTAATGTATTTTAACTTTTGTTAAAAATTTATGATAATATTTATACGCTTTTCTTACAAAATTTTGATTTTTTACACAATCTTAGATGTGTGTATATATATATATATATATGTATATATATGATGAATATACAAGTTTTCACAATATTCAATTTTTTATGTTTCTCTTGTAAACATGACGTTATATATATTGGGTTCCGTTTTGTGAGAATCGTAAAATCACTTTGTTAGCCAAAATTCAGATAAGTTAACATTCCTTACATATGTTTAGTTATCACTATAAGGGATGTTAATGTGTTTTAAGCCTTTTAATTAACTTACGTTAATATTTTATTATAACATTTCTACACTCTTACAAAATTTTGATTTTTCACACGATCCCCCGTGTGTATATATATATATAGAGAGAGAGAGAGAGGTGAGTTATTATACAACATCTTACATTTGTACAACCAATACAACTCAATCTCAACCGTACATTTAATTTGACGAATATGTAATTTATAAAAGTTTTGATTATTTCCTGATATAAGTATTAATCATAATTAATGAACCGTATTCATATTCCATAAATATTTAAATCATAATAAATGAACTCTCAACATTTCCATAAATATTTCAATTTATTGGGTTGCATTGGTTGTACAAATGCGATAGGTTGTATTTGAAACAATATATATATATATATATATATATATATATATAGAGAGAGAGAGAGAGAGAGAGAGAGAGAGCTAGGTTGTTTCATTAACTCAATTTTTAATGTTAACTAGTTAACCTAGTAGACTAATAGGATTCCTTGTTTGTAGTAGATTTCAATAAAGTATTGATTATGAGATGGATGATATTAGGTAAATTATACACAATGTATTATAATTAAATAAAATTAATTAATGAGTGGTTATAATTTAATAGTTGCTTGATTGTTAGGATTATTATCAATTATTCGAATTACAAAATGTATTATAATTAAATAAAATCAATCTTGATGAAATTGTTAATCTGAGTGCACTAAATCACAATTAAACATTTTTTAAAATGTGAATATTAATATACACAATGGATAAATGGTTAATCCGAGTGAACAAATCACAAGTAAACATCTTTGAAGCTTATAGTTAATGTCGTTTCTAGTGATATGAACACTATGGAGAAAAATATTGTGAAACCACTAGTGAACATATTTCCGTAAGAGTACAATTTTCATTGTCTGTTAATATATGAAAAGATTGAATAACCAAGTGAACTTTTATGAACATATATGAACATTGTTTAAATATTAATGAACATAATCACATTGTTCATATATTGATGGACATAATCACGTTGTTCAGAAGTGAGCCCATGTTCATATAGAGGGAGATGTCGTGTGTATATTAATGTTCATGATGATGGAGAATTTTTTATTAAATGGCAATTAACAGTTATAAATTTTATGAATTTTTTCCAATAATACCCTTGTTCGTGTATGTTCATCTTAGGTGATAATATATTATATTATTAGTTATTACAAAATCGCCATTATAAATGCCGCTATTGATTTACAAGATAAATGGTTGTGATGAGTTCACAAAGTTAATACCATAAATTGGGTTAACAAAAGAACCTACTCTTCTATATGTATATACATGTGTGTGTGTGTATATATACATATATATATATATGTATATATGTATAGAGTAGGGATCATGTGAGACCAACCTGTTTTCATGAGACTCGTAATACCACATTTTTACATTTGAAATTTCACAGCAAAACATTGTGAAGGTAAAAAAATCCGGACATTTATAGCAGAAACACTGTGAAAGTTACCTTAACAATATTTTGCTATTAAGTTTCAAATATAAAAATATAGTCTCATGGGTCTCAATAAAACAGGTTGGTCTCATTTGAAAACCCAACCCTATTTAGGTGGTTTGCAAAAGGAGTCTCTCTCTCTCTCTCTCTCTATATGAATATATATATAGGCGGTTTCAAATACAAACCATGCAGTTCTTACGAACTATAATCAATGTTTATATTAGAAAACAATCGAGATATTTATGGACAATTATCATGATTCATTAATTATGGTTGATATATATATATATATATATATATATAGAGAGAGAGAGAGAGAGAGAGATAAGCGATCAATTGAAAACCGGCTTCATTTGTGTAAACCATGTAAACTATGTAAACCAATCTCATTCATCCATTTTCTTGATCGTTGGTCAAGATTAGTTTAGATTATATTAGGAAATTAAAAAAAATTATTTTATAATCCCTATAAGGGCAAAATGGTAACTTTGGTAGTGGTAATATTAATGGCAACCATATCATGTATATCGTAATATTAGTGAAACAAAAGCATTTGTAAAATAATATATTAATTTTATGTTCAAATATTATAAATAAAATTACATCCATCATTAAAATAGATCAACAATAAAAATAAAATAAACTATAATCAATTTAAAATGATTCCTTACAAAGCTATTGAAATGTTACTATGAAATTGTTTCACAAGGGAGTATATGGTTACTTATAGAGCTATTGAAATGTTACTATGAAACTGTTTCATAAGGGAGTATATGGTTACTTATAGAGCTAT